TTAAGGTGTTAGCCTCTCATTCAAAGGTCCCGGGTTCGATTCCGGGTAGCGACCAAAAAATTTTCTTCTCTAAAATTGTCTCCTTTCACACATCCTTTCCTGATCTCTAACAATGTTCTGTTGTCTGCTTTCATTTCCACTTTCTGCCCCCACCCCCTCACCTCCTTTGCCCCCTCCTCTGGGCTCCTGACTCTTTCCTGCAGCCTTTCTACTGCTACTCCTTGGCTCCTCCTAACTGCTGTCTTTCTGCCACACCCCTGATCTTCTGGTAGGATAGATCTACACCTAGCCTTCTCGGACAAGGGCGAAAAATCTCGGAGGGCTCGTGTGCAAGTTGCGCACGTTAAAGATCCCTTGGTGGTCTAAAATGGATAAGAGTAGGCTTCGGCCGCCACCCGGGCAAAATTTAAAATTTCCCACCAAGGCGTCCAAGGAAAAAGTATTAGGTGTGTCCCGCGCGCTCATATATATATATATATGACCTTTTATGCAGTTGCGAGCGCCGTAAAACCAAACAAACAAACAAAACACGATAGTCGAAGTGACTATTTCGGGAAGATTGAAGAATACCGGACCACTGGTACATTATTGCGCGAGAAAGTGGGGCGGGTGGTTGGGGTGGAGGAGGGGGGAGGGGGGGTTCAGGGGGGTCTCCCCCCCTGACAAAATTTTAATGAATAGATCTACTGGTCCGAGATTTTCCATTGAGAGATATAGAGTCTATATTAAAAACAGGAAAATCATAAATTCTTAAGGCCTAAGGTTGAGACATAGGCAAAGTCAGTCCGCTGGTCCGGTATTCTTCAATCTTACCACTATTTCTCCGAACGTTCAGAGAAATAGTGCCGATCTTTATTTCTCCGAACGGTTTCCGGCTTCGGGTCTCGTGATTTTTTGTCTATTTATTGCGAGAGTTCAGCGCCAACTTTCATTCTGCCTCTGGTCTGGGAAGGAACACCGCATGGCAAGCCCGCCTACAGACAACCTTCAGTAACACCCATCATACACCCACCACCATCATGCACATGTACACATGCTAACTAAACATGACCAGTGGGCAACTTTTGAAAGTATGACGAGCTGAACTGTGGATGGAGAGACAGTGTGAGTGAAAGAGCGGGTGAAAGGAAGAATGTGCGAGTGTATCCACAGGCGACAGCAACTACAACTTGAAGACGACGACACCGACCCCCCTGGCCTGGTCCACAGCTCACGAACGAAAGGAAATGCAGCTCAGGCAGTGTTTTGCCTATAGATATTATTGTCCATGGTTCGCAGGGTGCAGGGGAATGAGTGAGATTTTCTTTGTGTGTGCCTGGAGGGAGGGGGTGGGGTATGAAAGTCATGCGGACGGGGATGAGCCGCGGGAGAGAACACGGGAATTAAATGAATGAGTGAAACTGAAAGAGACGAACGACTCATGAGCCCTGGAGTGAATGGATCCTGTGTTTCTATTTTTGTATATACTTTGAACTGTTACTAAATAAACGCTGAAATAAAGCCCAAAAAACAAACACATACACACACTCCTCACTCTTCACTTACTACCACACACAGACACACTCACACACGCACATACATACACACACAAACACAGGAGCAAATTTTTGGGTCTATATATCTATTTCAATTTTCAAGAGCTAGTCTAGAGATTTTTAGATGAGTGTAAAAACGTGAAAAAGAAATGTTTCACAACAGAAAGAAATCAAAATTAGAACAGCCCATAAACAACAACAAACATTAACAAATAAGGGCGTGTGTCCACCTGTCCGAAGAAGATTGGCTGTTTTAACGCTAAATGTGCATAATTTATTTTTAAAAAGTACAGGATATTACATGTAAATTATGGAATCACACACGTTAAGGGGCTTGCCAGTGTCAGTACATTGGTCGCAGCAGTTCTATGTGTCGTTATCAATAACCCTCCATAGATCTAGATCTAGATCTAGATCTAGATCTAGACAGCACACGAGTGAACACAACACATTACGTTTAAGAGCAGCACCCTTTATAGGCAACACGTCATCTGTAGCGTAAAACTGTTTGGAATTGTAGCATTTCTTTATATAAATACGGACATTTTTTGGACCGATTGAACCATATTGTGTACGAACAATCTTTGGTAGGCCTATACTATAATTATAGATCTATATAATATCCGAAATTTGCGGGAAAGGATGAGATTTCAGAGTGTTCGGAGAAATACATCTAGTGCCCAGCTTTATTTTCCCGAATGTTCGGAGAAATAATGCCGGCCTAAATTAAAGACAATCAGTAGTATGGCATCTGCGGCATAGTCATAGTCATAGATCTAGATCTAGACTCTAGATCTAGATTCTAGATCTAGATATTTTACCCTTGCACAAAATCAGCAACAAAACTCGGGCTACCAAAAAACCCCACAAAACAACAACACCAAAATGAATAATAATGTAAACGAAGTGACTATTTCTCCGAACGTTTGGAGAAATAGTGCCGATTTTTATAATTTCTCCGAACGGTTTCCAGCCTCCGCTCTCGTGATTGTTTGCCTATTTGCGAGAGTTCGGCGCCAACTTTCATATGCCATTCTGCGAGGTCTGGGAAGAAGCATTTTTTTCCCCAGGACATCGAATTCAATTTCTAGAGCAAGATATTTTTATATATTCAGATACTTCAGTTGTGGTTGTGGCAATGTTCTCTGGCTATACTTCATTTCAAAATACCTTCAAAAGGTATTGCGAGAAAAAAAGACTGTTCGACCTTGGCAGTAACCTATTTTAGTCACTCAGCAAAAACTAAAATCCTTCATGTAAAAAAAAATCCCCCCCCACTTCCATTCACACCTTACACACTCACGGACACCTACACACGCACACGCACACGCACACGCGCGCGCACACACACACACACACACACACACACACACACTTATTTATAATTTTATCAACAAATCTTGAGAACGTAAACCGTTCGGAAAAATAGAGTTCAACTTTATTTTCCCGAACGTTCGGAGAAATAGAGCCGGCCTTAAAAAAGTGTCCTCAATATTCGGTGGCGCCCTCTTCGAAAAAGTGCGGACTTTTCGATCAGAGTTACCCTACTCGTGTGAAAATTTAAAAATTTTAAAAGTGAAACTAACAAATTGTGCTATTCCTATTCTTCTTCTGGTGAAATGAAAGTTCAAAACCAAGACTGCATGCAGTGTCATCTGAACCAATGTGCGGACTTCCATGGACACCTTTTTGGCTCAGTGAACTATTTTGTCAGTACGATCTTTGGCCAAGAGACGGTCTACGAGGTCAAGATAACTTGCAAAGTCATTGGTCACTATTTATAACTTTAACCTGTAATTTGCTACGCCATTTTCCAAAGAATGCTGAAATTTTCCATTGAAAAAAGGTCTATGCCCTTTTTATAAGGGCCTGCGCGCTTCCCAATCAAAGTAAGTCATCCCTATGCCCTATGTTATAGGGCCTGCGCGCTTTCCGGGTAGGCCGGCTCTCGGCCTTTATAAAGGGCCTGCGCGCTTCCAGGGTTTAAAAGTTTGTCCACTTGTAGTGTACGGTTTGATAGTTTCCGTCTACGAAGCCTAGCTTATTATAGTGAAGTGGAGGGCCATGCACATAGCTGTGATAGCCTCTATGCTATGCGTACGGGAGCCGTACGCATAGCCACTTCGTTTAAAAAAAAGGCCACCTTTATTCTCAGGCCACCTTAATTTTCACCCCGGTGAGAATAACCCTTGTCTCACTGTTCTCACCCCGGGTGAGAATAATTCATGACTCGATATTCTCACCCCCCCCCCCCCCCTGGTGGGTGGGTGAGAATAGCTCCCACCCCATGTGGACATTAGGTGAGGAGTCCCCCCTGACCTCTTGCAGGATGCTAGTAGCTTACCGCATGTGGTTGGGAACGAATAATAAAATAATAATTTAAAAACATTTTTCGCCTCTCCAATGAAAAAAAAAAGGCTCACTGCCGACACCATTGAGCAGGATGTGGGACCAGCCGCCGGCTGGCCCATTCGTTGTTTACACACTGACTTAACGATGGCAGGCTTTCTTTCCTTCCTACTTTTGGCTGGCCTCCGTTAGGAGGGCGGCAGTCTGCCACAGGCAGACAGGTAAGAGGCAATCTCTTTTGGCCTCGTCCAGAGTACATCTGGGCCCGGTCTCGCGTTGTTCTCCATAAGTGGGCCTTGATGTAAGATGGCAGGCCTCTCACTCTCTGCCTGCACACAATAAATGGTTCAAGGAACAGAGAGTGTGT